TGGACGAGACCCTGCTGAATCAGTTCTTGTTGGGTTTACGAGAGGCCAAACTGCGGAGGCGCCTCATTCGTGATGATGACCTCACGCTAGCCACGGCTTTAAAGGATGCGGCTGCTTTCGAGAATGAGCACCCGGGCCACGGCGGCCATCGGGTACACCGCACCCAAGCCGGAGGGGATTCGGCTGACTCCGAAGAGGAGGCAGTGGCGCAACTCCACCGCAAGCCGTCACAACCTCACCGTTCGAAGGGCGCACCGCCAGCGAGGCCGTCGGAGCCAGCTTCCTCCTGTGCCAGCTGCGGGGACGCGCATGAACGTCGGAGCTGCCGTTTCCGCGAGGCGGTCTGCAGGTCCTGCAACAAGCAGGGCCACATCGCCAAGGTCTGCCGCAGCCGCCGCCAGCCATCCAGGAAACCCAGCCACCAGTGGGAACCCATCCACACTGTGGACCTCCATTCGATCGACACAAATGCCGTCGGCCACCAGCCCCAGCCCCAGGTAGGTGACTTGCCCCGTCAGGGCCGAAACAAAGTCCATGTTACGGTCCGGATAGAGGGGTCCCCCTGTAGCATGGAACTTGACACGGGCTCCGAGTTTACCATTATCTCAGAGGAGACGTTACCATTATCTCAGAGGAGACGTTTGCGCAGAGGGACCCCCTCTGCGCAAACCACACCTCAGGCTTCAGGATTTCAATAAGAATCCTGTGGTGGTGCGGGGCTGGGGCACGTTCCTGGTGGAGTTCCAGGACTTCAAGGGTTGTTTGGACATTCTGGTGGTGGGGGGCCGGCTTTCCAGTCTCCTGGGGATGTCGTGGTTTAAGCCGCTGGGCTTGACCATCGGGGGCATCCACCAGCTGCAGCAAGCCGATTTCGCGGACGTTTGCAACGAATTCCCCCGGGTTTTCGATGGGTCCTTAGGCAAGTTCACGGGGGCCCCCATCTCCCTGGACCTGGACCCGGCGGTCCGGCCCATACGGATCAAGGCCAGGTTTCCGCCCTTAACGGTAAGGCCGAAAATCGAGGCAGAACTCGACAAGCTGGTGGCGCAAGGGGTGTTGGAGCCGGTGGCATCGGCACGCTGGGAAACCCCCATTGTCACACCGATCAAACCAAACGGGGACGTCCGGATCTGTGCGGACTATAAGTGCACAATTAACAAAGCACTGCAGGACCACGCGTACCCCGTTCCGGTGGTCAGCCACGTGCTGGCGGCGCTCGCGGGGGCTCGCATATTCGGAAAGCTGGACTTGGCGCAGGCCTATCAGCAGCTGCCGGTGGACGCCGCCACGGCGGAAGCCCAGACGATCGCCACGCACAGAGGGGCTTTCAAGGTCCACCGGCTCCAGTTCGGCGTCTCGGTGGCTCCGGGGATTTTTCAATCTTTCATGGACTCTCTCCTCAAAGGTATCCCCGGGGTACAGCCCTTTCTAGATGACGTCTTGATCGCCGCCCCCGACGCCGCGTCGTTTGCCACCCGACTCCGTACCGTTCTTCAACGCTTCGACCAGGCGGGGCTGAAGGTGAAGCGCGAAAAATGCTTGCTCGGCGTGCCCAAAGTGGAGTTTCTAGGGTTCGCGGTCGACGCACAGGGCATCCACCCCACGGCGGAGAAGACCAGGGCGATCTCGAACGCCCCAGCCCCCACATCAAAGACCGAGCTACAGGCCTTCTTAGGCCTCCTGAACTTTTACCACTCTTTTCTTCCCCTCAAAGCTGCAGTAGCCGAACCCCTCCATCGGCTCCTCGACAAGGGCGCGCCGTGGGTCTGGGGGACGGCTCAGCAGGCGCCTTTCCAGGCGGTCAAAGACCTCCTCGTCTCAAATTCGGTACTCGCACACTTCAATGAGGACTTGCCGGTGGTGCTGGCTTGCGACGCCTCTCCATATGGGGTCGGGGCGGTCCTGGGGCACAAACTGCCTGACGGTCGGGAGGTACCTGTGGCCTATTACTCCCGTACCTTGTCTGCGGCGGAGCGCAACTACGCGCAGATTGACAAGGAGGCTCTTGCTATAGTGGCCGGGGTGAAAAAATTTCACCACTACCTCTACGGCCGGCCCTTCACGGTCCCCACGGACCACAAGCCTCTCCTGGGTCTGTTCGCCCCGGACCGCCAGACCCCCCAGATGACTTCGCCCCGAGTGATCCGGTGGTCCGTCTTCCTGGCGGGCTACAACTACAGGCTCCTGCACCGGCCCGGGAAGGCAATGGGCCACGCGGACGCCTTGAGCCGCCTGCCTCTGCCGGAAACGGAGCCTGACCCGGCCCCAGCCCATCACATCGCGCTGCTGGAAACGCTGCCCGACCAGCCGGTTCACGTGAAAGAGGTGGCCCGGCGCACCGAAAAGGACCCTATCCTCTGCCGCGTCCTGGACTGGGTGAGAAGGGGGTGGCCGTTGGCCTCGGCGGGACCCGACTTTGCGGCCTATGCCTCGCGCAAAGACGAACTGTCTGCTCACAAGGGTTGTGTGCTGTGGGGAGGTCGGGTGGTAATCCCTTCCCCACTCCGAGACCGAGTACTTGCAGCATTGCACGAGGCTCACCCAGGAGTGGTGCGGATGAAAGCGCTGGCTCGGAGTTATGTGTGGTGGCCCGGCCTCGATCAGGACATTGAGAGACTGGTGAAACTGTGCCAACCCTGCCAGGCGTTCCGGCCCGCACCGCCCCGAGCGCCCGATCGAGCTTGGGAGTCTTCCCACAAACCTTGGTCCCGGCTACACTTGGACTTTGCGGGGCCGTTCCAGGGACAAATCTTTTTCATTCTAGTGGACGCTTACAGTAAGTGGCTGGAGGTGGTGCCGGTACCGTCTACCTCCTCGAAGGCCGCCATCAGAGCCATGCGCCACATTTTTAGCTCCCACGGCCTTCCAGACACCCTGGTGACCGACAACGGCACAGCATTTACCTCCAGCGAGTTCCAGGACTTCACGAGGTACTGTGGAATCCGACACGTCCGGTCAGCGCCCTTCCACCCGGCAACCAACGGCCAGGCGGAGCGCATGGTGCGCACCACCAAGGAAACACTGCGCAAGTTCGACAGTAAGGACTGGGACTACAAGCTGGCGGTGTTCCTGTTCGGCCAACGCACGACCCCGCACACCGAGACCGGCTGCAGCCCGGCGGAGCTCCTGATGGGTCGTCGCCTAACCTCCCGGCTGGACCGTCTACACCCAGACAGGGCCCCCGAGATGGAACCGACATCGGAATCACACGCAGCCGCCCGAGGGTTCTTCCCGGAAGACCCAGTCTACGCTAAGAACTACGCCCAGGGGCCACCCTGGATCCCTGCGAGAGTGGTCCGGGTGCGAGGCCCGCGCTCCTATGAGGTCTCCTGTGAGGACGGACAACTGCTACACCGCCACATCGACCAACTGCGGCGCCGGGTCCTTCCGAACGACCCCGAGGACCTGGAGCCCCAGGAGCACAACGAAACTTCAGGCCACGCAACCGAACCGCAGAACCCGGCCTCGGCCCCGGTCACTCTAGAGCCCCCGGCGTTGCACCCGCAGGACACACCGCCGTCGGAAACGCCACAGCAAACCGCCCCGCCACGGCCACAAGGAGCAGCCCCGAACAGCACCC